TTTGGTTTCTTTTTAGTTTTTTGCCCCCCGCCTCTTTCCTCGATGAAAGCGGTTGGTTCGTTATACTGGGCCGTGGGCTTCACTCCTCGGAAACTGTGTTGGAGGGAGGACACACCCTCGTTAAGCGAACCGAGATGAAGTGCCGAAGAGACCACGGCCTTTGACGGGCAGGGGAAGGTAAGGATCCAGGAGCTGCTATCAGGCAGTTCTTCAGCTGCTGGCGTTGGTCTCTCTGTTCGCCTTTTCGCGACTCTTCCTTCATTTGCAAAGACACTATTGATGACGCGATGGAGACCCTTAAGTCAACTGCTTGGATGCTGGTCGTCCTGAAGAAATTGACCAGGAAGAGACTCAGGCAATCACAGTGGCTATGGATGATCCTCGCGGCTGTCTTCTGGGCCCTGCTGTTCGAGCAGAGCATTCTGAAAGGAGGAGCGGCAGCCACACGCGACACTTTGCGGAAATTCAAAGGGCTGCAGAAGTTCTCCGAGAGCTGGACACGTGGCACCATCCACGAGAGCCGTACACGGTACGTTGCTCCATGTGCCCAATGGATTGTGAACATCTTGCTGGTGGTTGCTTCTGCCACTTACATCGATATGCTTTTGATGACGTTTGCCGCTTTCTGCCTGCAGCTGTCGGGATGGAAAGAGGCAATGCCGCTCTCCAGAGACTCCCAGACGAGCGGAGAAGAGAGGAGGACGCCCGTCTCCTTCCCACCTTGTTCGGAAGGAGCCGAACTTGGGGGAGGAGAAGGCTGTCATGGGGGGGATGGTGCGGATGACGAGGGGACGGGAAGAAGCGGACAGGATGGTCACGATCCGGAGGTAGAGCGGCAGCTATCGAGGGAGAGGGAGCCATGGTTTCCGAAAGTGCTGGTGCAGATCGCCATGTACAACGAGCGGGAATGCTACAAGCTGTCCATCGGAGCCTGTGCGCGACTGGATTGGCCGCGCGATCGACTGCTCGTCCAGGTGCTGGACGATTCCGACAAGGAGGAGATGAAATCTCTAGTGGACGAGGAGGTAGAGCGATGGGTGAAGGAGGAGGGGGTCAAAATGGTCGTGAATAGGCGCACAGACAGAAGCGGCTTCAAGGGGGGGAACCTCAAGAGCGGGTTTGAGGCGCCTTACGCGAACGAGTACGAGTTCATTGCCGTGTTCGACGCTGATTTCCAACCCGAACCGGACTTCCTGGCACGGACTATTCCGTTTTTCCGCGACGATCCCAAGGTGGCGTTGGTTCAGGCTCGGTGGGAGTTCAACAACTCCTACCAGAACATTTTGACTCGGACGCAGCTGATCGACATGTCCTACCACTTCGCAGTCGAGCAGCAGGTTCAGGCAGCGACGGGGCTTTTCTTCCAATTCAACGGCACGGCGGGCGTGTGGAGAAGGTCAGCCATCGTCGACGCAGGGGGGKGGTTGACTCGCACCACAGTGGAGGACATGGACTTGTCCTTCCGAGCATTCTTGCGCGGGTGGAGGTTCAAGTACCTAGACCAGGTGCGCGTAGTGTCGGAGAACCCATCGAGCGTCCGTGCGTACTCTCGCCAGCAGCACCGCTGGTCTGCCGGACCTGCACGCTTGCTAGTCCTGGTCTTCGCGGATATCCTCCGCTGCAAGCATCTGTCCTTCTCCAACAAGTTTCACATGCTGGTGATGTTCATATTCTTCCGAAAGATTGTTGCTTCCATCGTCGGAGCTGCGCTGGCTTTCCTCGTACCCCTGCTCTTCGTACTGATCCCTGAGCTTACCCTTCCTCTGCCCATCGCTCTCGTCGCCATCAGTCTCGGGGCAGKCGTTGCTCGGATACTGTCTGGGCGTCAGGAATCGCTTCTTGCGTGTCTTCCCRTCGTGGCTCCTTACATTTGGGTCGCGAGTTCCGTCTCTGTGACGAAAGCAATTGGCTGCGTGCAGGGACTGTTGGACCGACCCGAGGCTAGCGAATGGGTTGTGACGGAGAAGACGGGAGGGGGAGGGGGGCAGGGAGAGTGTGAGGATGATGAAGAAGACGGAGAAAAAGCAGGAGGAGGAGGAAAAGTAGGAAGAAAGGCAAGACAAGGAGAAGGGGAAGAAGGAGAAACGGACTCTTTGCTTTCTGCTCACATATACGATTTGAAAATCGTCCCTGTATCGAGTTCCTCAGGTGGGGGGGACATCGAACTCGGCCGGACTGACAAAGCGACGGTGGGAACACACCGTCCTCCGCCGCCGGGTGCGCAATACCTTCCGCCGAAGAAGAAGAAGGCAAGGACCATTTTGAGGGCCCAACTATGTGTGGCAGCCTTGCTGGTGTTGTGCTCCTTTCCTGCGTTCCTGTCCGCGCGTACGCTCTTTTTCTACATGTTCTTCCAGGGCGTTGTCACCCTAAGCTTTGCATGCAGCTGTATTGGAGACGACTGAGATGATCAGACAGACAGACAGTAGTTAGTTAACGAGATTCCGCGAAAAAAATAGCGTCGCCCGCTGCGCTAGGTGGAGACGAAAGTGTCCAGAAATAGTCGAGATAAAAAATAGAAATTTAGATCAATGACATTTAGATTTTATTTTATTTTATTTTTTATTTTTTATTTTATTTTTTCCTTATAAAGGCGAAAGAATAGTGCGCCAAGTGAGCTGGGCAGTGGGCACGGAGCTGAATACATTTAGAAAGGAAAAGTTATAAAACGTCCCCGCCATGAAACCTTTGTCTTCATTTCCCGCCAAACGGGGCAAAATGTGTTGCAGGCCCCGAAATTCAATTTTGCACCACTGCTGGGCTGGCTGGTGACGCCCGCTGTCAAAAATGGCGGGAAAGTATTTTGCAGGGTGCAAAAATTACGCAAAAAGTCATTTCGGGGCCTGCCACACTTTTTGCGCCATTTGGAGGGAAATCAGTACAAAGGTTTCGTGACGGGGAGGTTTTAGAACTTTTCCCCATTTAGAAGGTGTCAAGGGGAGAGTTTTCGAGTCGATGATGAGGTGAAGGACGGTGTAATTAACGGTGATGAGGAGGTGGACAACAACGCAAGCCTTTTTTTTTTTTTTTTTTTTAATAACGCCTGCCTCTTAGGATCCCAAACAGCTCGGTCGCTAGTCGCGCGAGCCGCGTAGAGTTGGAAAGAGAAACACTGACTCAACAAGCGGTAGTCTGGTAGAACGTGGCAGGGAGAGTGAGTGAGAGAGAGACTGATTGATTGCTCCCATTGCAGTTGTTTTATCTTTGCTTTTGTTTTCGATGTCAGGACTGAAGGAGTTTTGACACTACCTTCTTTACCGGAATACACAACGTACGGTCATTATAGCCTGTATTAGGCGTATATTTTTTCAGTCTACGTACAGCTTCTATAATGACCGTACGTTGTTGTATTCGGGGTAAGAACGTAGGGGCATCGCAAGACCACTCACGACAGCAACAACAATGCTACTAGTGCATCTGCCCGCAGAAGCTGGCAGGAAACATCCTTTGCTACGGATAGTTGCGTATGCATCTAGCCTCCTTCTGCGGAAAGATGCGCTCGCGTTGTTTTCAGTCTCGAGAGTGGTCTGGCGAAGCCCTAGGTTGCAACTGATTTGTCTTCCAGCGAACTGAGTTTGAGTTCGGTCCTGCGCGATCAGGAAGGGTAGAAGAGAAAGCACACGCAAGGTGCCCCATTTATTTATGCATACTGTGAATAATAGAATATGGAAGGCTGTGCTTGGATCAATTTTTTTTCATGTTCATCGAGGACCGGACTTGAGATTCTTGAGAAGAATCGATTATAAATTTATACGAGCAGCCTGCTAGATCGTTAAGACTGCTGCTGTTTTTTTTTGTCCTTCCAGAATTTGGTTACTTTTGCCTTTTTTTTTTTTTTTTTTTTTTTTTTTTTTTTTGGGGGGGGGGGGGGGGGGGGGGGGGGGGGGGGGGGGGAAAAAGTAATGGAGCGAGACCCTTCGCCACACCGCATGTCCAAGTGTAGAACTGAGTCCTATGCACAAAAGAGACAAACTGGGGTGAAGATAGGACAAGCGTTGGTGCATTCTCTTTTCCTACATTCGGGCAAGAATTCGACATCCCATCGGAGGACTGTTGAAAAAATGTTCAAGTTGCAGGCTGGGAAACGAGCCCGTCTCGAGAGGAGGTGTCGAAACCCTTTCCCTGACAGCTCCTGAATTTTTTTTGCATCTCGGATTTCGGGCCTAGTTGCACTACTCGCCATAGGCCAAGTTTGGCGAGTAGGCGCCTGGTTGCACTTACTCGCCAAACTTGGCGAATGCAAAATGTGTCAGACGGCTCGCCACACCGTCGACACAAGTTGTGGAGAGTGAATTCAGTTTCCCCGCCTCTGCACGGCGGTTTGTGGAGGGTGGTCTTCGGACCTCGCCACAAAACAGCTTTCTGGAGAGTGCAGGGCTTCACGAGTCGACATCGGGGAGACAAAATTTTTTAACCTTTCCGTAAAAGAAATCTAGTGGCGAGTACGTGCAACCAGGCCTCGAGTTCGACACAATTCTCATATTTTTCACTCTCCACGCATCCGCCACGAAACGTGACGGATGGCGAGTAGTGCAACTAGGCCCTTCGACATGCTGTGCGGCGAGGAGAAAATGTCAGAAAAAATAGTTTTCGACATTGATGTGGCGCCACACCAATGTTGAAAACTGCATTTTCTACATTTTCTCCTCGCCACACATCATGTCGAAATCCGAGATGCAAAAAAAATTCAGCTGTCAGGGAAAGGGTGTGGACACCTCCTGTCGAGAAGGGCTCGTTTCCCAGCCTGCAACTCGCACATTTTCAACAGTCCTCGGATGGGATGTCGAATTCTTGCCCGAATGTCGAAAAAGAGAGCGCACCAACGCTTGTCCTATCTTCACCCCAGTTTGTCTCTTTCGTGTGCATACGACTCGTCAGTTCTTCACTTGGACATGCGGTGTGGCAAAGAGGGGTTTTATGTCGAAAGAGGGAATGTCGAAAATCTCCTGACATATGTCGAACTTTGTGATGTTTCTACATTGGTGTGGCGAGGCCCGTAGTGTAATGCATGGTCTCATGAGCCTGGATCATATTTTGAACTTGCCTTTACGTGAGGGACGCCAGACCCTTTTTTTTTTTTTTTTTTTTTTTTTTTTTTTTTTTAACTAGCTCACCTTTATTAAAAAAAAAGTACTCTTTGAGCCCGGGGTCCTCACAGTCTACCCGGAGATCATGAAATCTGGGAGCCTTACCCAGCTTAAGCTTTTCACGGGACCAGCAAGAGGGACGCGAACCAATCCTTCAAAAACCAAGAGACAGACCAAATTACTTATCCAGTCTAGAATGATCTAGCTTACAACCAACTCTAGAACAACCCAACGCCTAACTATCAAATTCCCGCTTAATCTACAGTACCACAACCACTTTTCTCTCCAAATGAATAGGAAACACAAGGATTTAACCTGTTAAAACCTTTGCGGCCTATTCCGGCCTACTCGCATTACAGCTCCCTGACAGGTGCTTACCTACGACAGCCACTCTGAGAGTTTCAAATTTCCATCTTCCGAGAAGGACACCAAGTCAGGAGCGTTCCCCCATGTTTGCCTGAACCAGTGTCGGTTCTTATAAGCATGGCTCCCTTGGGGGGACCAGTCCGATCTAATTATCTGTCGAACCAAAACTTTTGCTGAAGCAAACAGCTCCTGAAGAGGTGTTGGTTCCAGCTTAAATAAGGCTCTATTCCGAGCTTTCCAGATTGCTTCCATGACTGCCCCTCTGCAGGCCAAGGCTACATAAGCTATACCAGAGGAAAAATCATTCACAGAGGGAGAGTGAGCAAACAGAATCCATTCCTGAGTCCAGGGGAGTTCTTTAGCCGCCGCCCCTTCCCAATTTTCTTTCCACCATTCCCATACCTTGAATGAGAGAGGGCAAAACAGCCAAACATGGTTCGCTGATTCCCAACCCCACCCACAGCGTGCACAATGCTCTTCAACTTCCATCCCCTTAGCGGATAGCCAGACTGCCGCTGGGGTTACCATCAAGAGCTGGAGCCAAGCCAGACTGGCTTGTTTCTGAGACACAACTGCCATTTCGTCAAAATGGACATTTTTTATTTTTTGAACGAAATTGAAACTGAGTTTTTAGCTGAAAACTCATCAAAATTTGCTGTTCCTGAGGGTCCAGCATTTACCCCTGGCTGTACATGGACCTAGCTTGAGACCAGGCACCTCCAGGCAGGACTGCCTGGAGGTGCCTGGTCTCAAGCTAGGTCCATGTACAGCCAGGGGGTCCAGCGTTTGTAAAACGCTGGACCCTTTTGACGAGTTTTCGGCTAAAAAACTCAGTTTCAATTTCGTTCAAAAAATAAAAAATGTCCATTTTGACGAAATGGTGGTTACACCATCCTTTTCAGTCCCTGACAGATTCCTGCTAGGTCAAGGTTTCCTAGGCAAAAGCCAGGTTCTTTCCCCAGTCTGTCTGCCACTGTAATTATCGGGTGTCTCTTCACTCTTGATCTTAAAATCTGCACTCCAAGCTTAGTTTTGTACGCCGCAACTGGGGTGGTAGCATCCACTTTTGATGTCTCTTTCCAACCAAACATTATTGGTTCTATTTGTAGAACCCCCACCTCCTCAGCTATAACCACCGCTGAAGTTTTATCGCCTGATGTATTGCTCCATACTCTGCATTCCGGTAGCCCCACCGTTGTGGGGATCACCTTATCGCCGGTTTTCTTCAAGTGTCCTGATGGGTTACGGCGGCCTTCTCTCTCCCAAACTTGGACCTTTATACCTTGAGGTAGAGCTGGCCCAATGACTTTCAGGAAAGACTGGTCGGCCCAATGACTTTCAGGAAAGACTGGTCCTCCCCCTGGTCCACTAGCCACGCCCCCTGTCCATATTCCATTTTTGGTGGAAGCATCTGTATCCAGTAAAGTGGGATTGCTGAGCGGAGAGCAGCATAGTTGATTTCAATATTGCGAAGTCTTCCAAGTCTGGCTTTTTTTTTTTTTTTTTTTTTTTTTTTTTTTTTTTAAAGCGAACAACCCGAGTCAATGCTAGGGATGCTGGTTCCAAGTCTGGCTTTTAACGAACTTTCTCCAGACCCGTTTTCACACCGGTGTGTACTGGGCCGGAGTGCCCGGAACATACCGAACTTTTTGAACGAAAAAAAAAAAAAAAAAAAAAAGAGCCCTATCATCAGGCAGAACATGGAAAGATGAACGGCTACAATTTTCTGTGTTTTTTTTTTTTTAAAGGCAACACATAGTTTATTAAATGCCGAAACACTGATGAGGCCGGGGTCCTCACAAATCTACCCGGTAAATGACACGAGTTTTAGCCAGACCAACCTGGCAGAGCAAGACACAACTCAACCAATTAGCAAGCAAACCCACAAACAAAGCCAGACCAACCTGGCGGAATACAGACAATCAGGCCAATCCTGACTGACCCTAAACACCTCCCAACGAACGACCACTCTTGGACTACGGCCCCCTTTTTTTGGTCCTAGAACGGACCTCGGGGCCTACCCCTCCCATAACC